CATAAAAGAAGCGAAACTAGAGAGCGCGTTAACTTTTTGAATTGCTGATTCACATAGATTGTTAAAATGGTTATCAAAGGAAAATTTATTATTAAACATTATACCAAGTAATTTTTCATTATCAGATGAGAATGTTTCCCCATCACAGATGTTAACTTTGAGAGAGCTTGTTTTACTAATAATGATATGATATTTATCTGGATTTGCTTTCATACCATTATTTTCAAACCATGAAGAAAATTGATAAGCAGCGTTTTGCAAGTCACTTACAACAGTATTTAAGTCATTTTTTTGCACTAAAAGAAGTGTTATCATCCGCATATCCTGCAATATTAACATTGGTTAAAATAGAAATAGATCACTTATGAAGATATTAAATAATAATGGACCTAAAATTAAGACTTGTGGAACGCCAAACAAAATATTAGGGTAAGAGCTTTCTGTTTTAATTCTAATTTTTTAAGCTTAATTTTTAATTCTAAGATACGATTGAATGAGCTTTAATGCGTTTCTGTTGAAACCATATGCATTCAATTTAGCAATAAGCAAAGCATGCAGAATGCAATCAAAAGTTTTTAAAGGTCTGTATGCAAAGCTCCAAAATATTCTTTTTTATTTTAGCATTTCCTATTTTCCTTTTTTATTTAAGCATTTCTCAGTCATAGTTATTAAACATTGTTTAGCGCTATGGTTTTTACGAAAACCGTCTTTGAGTTTAGAAAATTTGTTTTCAAAATTATTTTTATCAAATTAAATTATTTTTTATCAGTTTTTGAACCTTTTTTAAAACATTTGCATTTTTTAATTGATCAGCGAAGCAACTATTTAAAATAGCGTTGTTATAGCAATTATTTAAAACGGCGTTGCATAGTCTTAGTAAACAAAGTCGGTAAAAATATGTTTTCTTTTATAATTTTAGTTAATATGTCAGATTTTTGTTTTGCCTTTGAAGTTTTTAATTTACATGTATATTTTCTTATTTCATTGATTTTTTATAGAACTGATTTCAGAATTTGATTTTTTTTAAATTAACATCTAACAAAGTATCAATCTGGGGCGATGAAATCTACTACTTATCCAAAACTGTATATAAAGAAATAATGCAGCTCATGAAGAAAAATGTTTTAAAATGAATTATTAAGCAGATAAACAAATACGATACAAAATATTATATCCATTTTGTAGATTCCACGTCAGACGTTGCTTATCAGATCAGCTGAAAATAATATTGAGATGCTTTTGTAAGGGAAAAATATTTGAACTATTTACAACCATTCTATAGATTTAAAATCACACCAGCGAGACTCTATTTAAAAAGGTATTTCAGTTTTTAAATAATACAGGTCTTCCTTTTCAAAACATCCATGGGCAATTATACTATAACGCGTCAAATATATTTGGAAAATAAACAGGTTTACATACACGAATAAAAAAAATAAATGCATTAGCGTATTTTGCCCCTGTTGCTTTGCATTCTTTAAACTTTTACAGTTACAGAATATTTCAGAACTATTTATATAAAAGATTTAGGAAGCGGGAACCAAAACTTTCAACTTATGGGAATAAATAAATATGGGAAGCAATGTTTAAAAAATTTAATAAAGTTAACAAAATAGTTCAAACTCCTGGTTTAGATATATGTGAAAAATATACTTTACTCCATTCAGCGAAGTTATATATAAAATCTTTACGGGAAAAGTACGAGTCAAAATTATTTGACTTTGTGAACAAAGCAGTCCAAAAGTCGAAGAAAATATTCGTGATACGCATAAAAGAGTTAAATTATATTCGGATGGAGAAAAAAGAAGAGATATTTTTACTAGAAGGGATAAGTTTCGTATAAAGGTATTTAATGTTTTGTTGGATAAATTAGGGGCTGAAATTGATAAAGAAGTGTTATATATAAGCATATTGGAGATAAATTCAAATTTTTGATGAACCTGGGAAAAAAAATTCAGTTATTGAACTTAAATCAATGGAGTCCGTTATGTTTTTATATAAAAAATGGTATTGAAGTAGAACTATTTAGTGAATGCAGTCAATTTCAGCATTATTTAAATATAGAATACTTTAAAAAAAACAATTGTATCAATGCGTCCGAAATGTTGACGCTAAGTTTTGAAAAAGTCCTATACTATATATATATTTATATTATATAAGTATATATAACTTAACAATGACGGATTAAAGGTTAAATAACCTCTCAATTGTTACTAAATTTGATATTACGAGATCCATTGCCGATGATGAAGCAATTCGCAAATATGTATCAGTTAAGTACAGAAGAGAACAATTTGTTTTGAATTTGTTGTTGTTATAATTACTTATAATTATGTTATAAAGTCTTTATGTAAATGTTATTTTTTTAGTTTTAATAGAATTTGATTTTTGATTTTGACGTTTCATTTGCTCACATAATTATCAGGCTGTAAAAAGTATAGCTGTTGGGGTGCTAGGGTAGGGCCCCAAAAAATCATGATCTGCCACTAAATCGTATGATTTGTATACACCGCCTTATTTATAGTGAACAACTACACTAAGTCAATTTAATAAACTTTCATATTGTAGTGTAAATTAATGAAATTTATAACCCTCACATTTTAGGTAGGGCGAAAACTTAATATAGTTGCAACATTTGGGCGTTAAAAGATAATTAAATGAAGCTTAAAACCTATCGATGAATTGAAGTTTGGTATAAAAAATATGTTCTATTAATTCATTTTACTCACATTCTTGGAAATTTTATTTTGGATATACTTGGATTGGATATTTTTTTCCAACTTAAAAATCTTTGTAAAGATTGAGTTATTTTTGTGAGCGATGGATTAATTTTGACAACTGTCGAAACATAATTAGAAAGCCACACGAAATGGTAATCTAGAAACACTTTTTATGAAATCAACCGTTTTGGCCAGTGGTTCTACTCTCTCTGCTGAAATCCGATGCCCTAAAAAGTTAACTTCAGTTGATTGAATTTACCTTTTTCTAAATTAGGTAACTCCATATTCAGCTAAATATACAAATATTAGTACCAAAAGTACCATTGTTGTTAATGAGTAAATCACTCTCAAGCTGGACAAGATGGTACAGTGAACACCAACAATGCTCACACTTTCCAGATGATGATAACACAGTCACTAATATTTATTCTTTGATGAAATTCGTTTTTAAATTGAAACTTAGCTACCCGACAGATGCTCTCTTATTTTTAATGTTAGCTTTTTAACACGTGCAATTATTAGAGACCTACTATGTGGACTATTAGAGACTACTAATGTGGACTAAGCCACTCTAGACTAAGTAATATTTCACAAAAAGACTTTCACAAAAAATAATACGAGACTATAATTCAGCTTAGCATGGTACAAAAAGAAACAGTTAAAAAGTTTACAAAAAGTAAAGCATATTTGTTACGGTTGATTTATTACCAACAAAAAAACTATTTTTTGTTATGAGTTGACGTAAAACAATCGTCCAAAAGGTTTCATAAAAATTGAAAAAGGTGTCTCCATTATTGAGAGCAACAAATTATCAAAAATTCATGAAATTCCATGAGGCAGTTATTTCTCACTTTTTTTTTTTTTTTTTGCTTATCTAATAACAAAACTGTTTTTGCAAAGTTTGTGGCTTCAGAGAGGAGATAAAAGAAAATAAAAAGATTTTAAAACCTGTTATAGATTCAGTTAAAAGATTTGTTCACTTCTTAGAACTTAACAAAATGACAAAACTGAAAAATAAAGAACATTGCAAATGCTTGTAAATCTCTTTAAATACTTGAATTTGTTTTTATTTTATTGTTTTGGAGTAAGTTGCTAACTTAAACTTTTTAATTATCTCAATACTTATGGTCTATGTAACTAATGATCTTATATTGGATACTTAGATACTTATATTGGCATTATGAAGATTAGTTTGGTATTATTAAGATCAAAACTTATGTTGCAGCCAAATAAGTAAATTAACTTTTCTGTTAACAAAAAAGCCATTTTACAGGTACCTAGAAATTTTCTTATAACATTTATAGTGAAGTTCTGTTTAAATATTGTCAATTTAGGTTTTGAACTTTACGAAACATGGAAAACAAAACAAAATCTTTACTAATATTTTTAATACTTAAGCTAATTAATCATCACAATATTGACATACATATATATACCTTTCTGTAAATATAAGTATTCTACAAATACTTTTCTCCTTTTAAATGTGCGTGTTATATATATATATATATATATATATATATATATATATATATATATATATATATATATATATATATATATATATATATATATATATATATATATATATATATATATATATATTAAAAATTTTAAGATATAGAGATTTAAAAGTTAAAACAACTCATATCAAAATGACAAAATACAATTCCTGTTTTTATAATATTCATCAATATCCGATATATGCATAAACTTTTGTCAGTTTATAAACTAACATCAAAAACCCCACCTTCTGCGTTCCCTATTAAATTATATAAAATTTATTAGATTTTAAGTTTAGAAATATTAAGTTTTTATTAAAAAACAATTTACTTAATAAAATACAGACTATAGTATTTTATTATACTATATATACAATCAAAGCGACTATATATACACTGTTAATCTAAAAGGTTCTTTGCAATTTTTTGCCTGTTCTTTAAAGAACCTAAAGGTTCTTAGAAAAAATTTAAGGTTCTTTAAAGAACCTACGGGTTCTTAATATTCTCTAATGGTTCTCTGAAGAAGCGGCGGCTTAATTACAAAGAAATACAAAGAATTCTTCAAATCGTTTTACGGAAAACCTCGAAGAACCTTAATTTAGGGTTCTTTAAACCATTTGTAAACGCTTTTAATTTTTCTAATCAGTTGTTATATAGGTAGACCAGTATGAATTTATAAAGAATAGTATAATAACAGATTATTAAAGCAACGTGTTTTTTTTTTTGTTTTTTTTGGAGCAGTTTTCTTATTCCTTTATGCTTTTATCATGCATATTATAAATAAATATATCATTGTATATTGCGAATGGTTTTATTTAGATTAATAAATATATCATTTGTTAAAATTTAAAAAATGCAAGATTGTTTGAACTGGATTGTAGAAGATGTTTGCGTATACTTAGAACTTAAAGGACTCCCACAACTTGTACAAAAAAAATATTGGTTAGATTGAAGTTTCTATTTATTTTTAACTATACAATTGTTCGGACACTATATATATATATATGTGTATATATATATATATATATATATATATATATATATATATATACATATATATATATATATATATATATATATATATATATATATATATATATATATATATATATATATATATATATACATATATATATATATATATATATATATATATATATATATATATATATATATATATATATATATATATATATATATATATATATATATATATATATATATATGCAAGATGCCCCCCTTAACAAACTTTATCGTATATAATAAATACTTTTACATTTTCTTGTGTTTTTTCTTTTTAATATTAAAGTTTACTTATAAGAGAAGACATTGGTAAGATAAAATAACTACTTTGTTACTGTTGATAAACTTTAAAATCAAAAAAAAAAAAACTTGTGCTAGAAGACATCTTGCCCCAGTGGTGGGGCAAGATGCTCTATGGATTTAAAGAAAGAAAGCTTTTCACGCGTTATTCCCCAAACCATTAAAATAGTTGTTAAAAATAACTTAAAGTTTTTAAAAAATAAAAGCCCTTATTAGTTTTTTTTATTTACTCTTTACATTTTATTAAAACAACTGAAATATTAACACTGCAAATAAATACTATGCAATTATTCTATACAATTGTCTTGAAGATAAATAACTTCTTTTTTAATTATTAGCAATAAAAAACTCAAATAAATGTTCTAATAACGATGTATATACATGACTATGATTCACAGTAGTAGCATAAGTCTGAATCATCTGGACCACACGAAGAGTGGTACAAAGATGTACATTTAGTACATTGTGTCCAATCATCAAATGGGGGCACATTATAAGCACAAGAGCATATGATGCATAAAGTAGTGTCAGTAATAAAACATTGAGAGGCTTTCTGCTTTTTAGACTTCTTTGGTTTTTTTGTCCTCAAATTTATTGATTTCTTTTTTTGCTTGATTACCTTATTAAGTGCAGCTTTTTCTTTACGCAATATTGCTTCTTGCTGCTTTTCTTTTTTATTGTTTTCATGTTCTTCTAATCTCTTCTTGAAAGGCGAAGAAGTAAGATTTTCAGCTGATTCTGTCTTGCTTTTACGCTGTCTTAATACAGTAATTTTAGGACGCGGGGAAATCTTTTCCAAAATATTAGGGGCGGATTTAAGGCCAAGATGCTCAGCAACAACTGGCAAAACTGCATCATTTGATTGGGCTGGTTCTTTTGTAACAGTCTTCATTTTTGAGGCAACAGTTGCTGTGCTTATGACATCTGGCAACTGTATAGGTGCAACAAGAGGTATACTAGGCAAATCACTTGATTGCTAACAGCTTTCCAATGGTATAGCTTCATCAGTGAGCAAAGCTGCATCAAAGGCTTCATCGTTAAAAATAAGCTCATTTATTGGGTATAAACCAGAGCATCTAAATCCATTGATTGCTTTGTCAATGTTTGCAGTAAAGTTATAGGCAGTTGTAAAAATACCTGCCATGTCAAAAAATGAAATTCTACGCCCCTGATGCGATAACATCCACTTGCTTGCTGCAGTATTGTAACCAACTTTCAATGGTTTGAAAAATGTACGGTCTAAAGGTTGCATTTTGTGTGTACAATGAGGTGGAAGAGTTATGAGGTGAATCCCATTGTTGCGACAAAAGTTAATGGCTTCAAGTGTTTTGTGACTATGATGACCATCGAGTACAATTAATTGCTCCTTAGTTTAGATGCATGAGTCACAGTAACAAAATGTGTTAACCATTCGACGAATAAAGATGAATCTGTCCATCCACTGGAGCTAACTCTAACAATTGACCCTGAAGATGCACCAAAAGCCAGCCTATCAGTCATTCGCTTATGGGGGAATATAAATAATGGTGGGACATAAACACCACTTGTACTCATTGCACACACGACAGTCACAGTAGCACCTCTTTCTCCACTAGTTATTTTTGAAACTTGTCGTTTTCCCTTTGTTGCAATTATTTTTCCTGGCTTATGGACATTTGTTATTCCAGTTTCATCCATATTCCAGAGCTGTTTGGCTGAAAACTTATGTTCCTCAAATAATGACTTGTATACTGAAAAAAACTTTAACTTTGGTTTATTGAAGCCAACAGCTCTGCTTACACTGGTGGCTTGTGGGGTTCGAATAGAAAGTTGTGGGTTGCAAGACATAAATCCTTGCAGCCAATCCTTTCCTGCTATTTTTGATTCATTATTAAAAGGATTGTTAATTCTGATGCAACATTTTTCAGACTGCAGCCCATCTCCATAGCTTCTAACGCTGACTTTATCCTATCATTTGTTGCACCTCTCTGTGTTTTTCGCACATAATTTCTCACCATTATTTAAATTGTTTAAATATGTTTCTAAATAAAAATTTTAAAATTAAATTATATAAACATATAAACACATGCAAAGTATTATATAATTATTTAATATACTATTGTTTCAAACATTACCTTACATTCATAAATTAACTCTTTTTAAGTTAAATAAGAACTTACTTAAGTTATATGCATACAATTTTTGCACAAAGTTACCCAAGAATTATTAATAACAATGGTATTATTATTTTTTTAATTTAATATAATACAACTTTATTTTCCCAAATGCAATGCAAATTTTAAAAATGTATTTATAATACATTTATATATAGACTTATAAATAATTTATAAATGTTTTACAAGTATGGATTGAATTGCAGTAACTGCATGTAATACAACTTCACACTTCACTTTATTTAGCATACATATTATAACATTTTAAAAATATATAAAATTATTTTAAAAAATTATTTATATATATGTATAATAGTTATCAACACATAAACCAACATGTAAACAAAGTCAATAACTAAATTAGTAAACGTTAATATGTTCTAAACACACTTTTAAAATGGTAGAAATTCCGTAAAACCACGAGACTAGAAGCCCTCCGTGGGCATCTTACCACGTAAACAAGGACATCTTGCCTCATATGTAGTGAGTGCAAGTTTAATACAAATAAAACTAATTTTGTTGCTTAATTAAAAACTTTTTTTTCTATATATTATTGTGGGACAAATTCTGTATAAAAAAAACTATTTTCTTACCTTCATCGCATAAGTATTGTCAGTCCAATAAACATTTGAAGTTAGAAGCAACTTACTAACAAAATACTCAAAAAAGTTAAAAATATATTTAAACCTTAACTAATAACGATATTTAAACTATTTTTTGTTCTGTGATATTGTTTTAACTATATTAATATTATAATAGAGGAATAAAACATTACTATTCTATGATACCCTCACAAAAGCAAAAAGACTTCTTGCCCCACGGGTCATCTTGCCCCACCCTACCCTATATATATACATATATATATATATATATATATATATATATATATATATATATATATATATATATATATATATATATATATATATATATATATATATATATATATATATATATATATATATATATATATATATATATATATATATATAATATATATATATATATATATATATATATATATATATATGTGTATATATATATATATATATATATATATATATATATATATATATATATATATATATATATATATATATATATATATATATATATATATATATATATATATATATATATATATATATATATCAGGGCTCGAATTAACGTAAAAAAAATCTAATCGCGATTTTTTAGTTGCTCATAACTCCTTCCCCCTCCTCCCCCATGGGGGGGGGGAGCATTATTTATTTTAACTTATTTATATTAACATACATAGTAAGTCTAATTTTTGCATAAGATTTCATAACATTTACGGTTAGCGGTTGTAAAATAGCTTTAATTATAGTTTACATTATTACTATTAGGATATTGCATTAAATATAACGGCTGTATTTTTGTAAAATCGATGAATTTGATATTGCTAATCTTCTTTTAATTAATTATTTCATCTTCTATTTTATTTACATATTTTAAACTATTTAAAACAACTAGAATATTTAATTTTCTATAAATTTTTAACAGTAAAAAAAAATTAAAACTCTAATTTTGAAACAGTTATAAAAAACTATTAAAAATGACGAAAACATTATTGTGATAAAATGTTAAAACTTAACATTTTGACGAAAACCTGCGCAACAAACAAGAATGATAATTAAATTCTTACTAAGTCAGTTTTCTTATCTAAGTAACCTTTTCAAATTCCGATGATATTTTTATCTATTGCTTTTTCATTCAATGCATTTTTTAATAAAAGTTAGCGTTCACTTTTTTCATTCAATAAAATAAAGCGAAAGAAAAAAATGTGTCTAAATAATAGAATCTTTTACGATCTAATACTTTTTTTGTTTGTGAATAGAAAAAGTATTAGAACGTAATCGTAAATATTTTTATCGTTTTGTAATAATTTCACTAGTTTAATGCTTAGAATTTTTCAGGATTTTTACTAACGTAAAAGTATTTTTACGAAGCTAAAAATCATGCGCTATTTAAAGTTGTTATTTGATATTTTAATTTTAAGGGGTTACAATGCGCTAATATAAAATTAAAAGTTGTCACAATATTCTTTCTCGCTCTCACTTTCTTCCAAATCTGATATTGTAACTGTCGCTAGATCAATGTCTGTTTTTCCTGACTTTCTTTTTCTTTTTTTCCGGATAACGATGAAAATTTGCTGACAATCGTCTAACTTTATCATTATACCATTCGTCCATAGCAGTATCAGGTTCAAATTTGTCAATCTCAGGACCTTCTTCGCTTATCCGAAGTAGAGATTCTAAACGATCTCGTGTAAGACAACTTCTCCAGTCATTTTTTACGCGATTCATACATGAAAACATTCGTTCTACCTTCGCATTTGTAAAAATTTGTAAAGGACAAATTAAAAATAGTTCAAAAATATCAAGAATATTTCGGCATTCTTTGACCAAACTTGATTTGGAAAAAACAATTTCCCAAATTTTCAAATAATACTCATTTTGATTGTTACTTATGATGGGAAGCATGTATGCTTTTAAAATGATCCACTCATGAAGTATATTATTCAAATCACATCCTACACCAATTAAAAATTCAGAAAAATGTTCAACAACTTCACCGATAGCTTTATCGCCAAAAGTACCGCCATCCACATCTAACGACCAGTTATAAACGTCAAGTAAAGCTACCAAGTGCATAAACAATGGTGATTTTTGGAGAGATTGAAAACGGCCTTCCATTCATATGGTAATATTTGCAATAATTAGTTTGTACTGGTCAAGAACATGGCTATTAACTTCGGTATATTGAGAAAGTGGAATATTTTGATAACATTGCTTTGAATCAATTGTCTCAATATCTTTAGACAGTCTTTTATAATGGGTCATAACACTTGTATCATCAAGAAAATTGTCTAACGAATTTTCTAGAAGAATTTGCAGCTTGGCCATTGTCCCTGTAAATTCTTGGACTCTTCTTACAGCTTTTACTGGATCATGAATATTGTTCTAAAAACTTAAACTCAAACGCCGAAGGGGAGATAAAACATTAAGATATATTGATAAATTAATAGGCACAGACGCATTTTTCCATCGCTTTAAAAAAACTTTTAACTCTGCTCTCTTTGCTATCTGGGAATCTGGGAGTACCTGTTCCGATACAGCTGAATTTGTGCTTCCATCACAGAGAACACAGTAAAATCTACAATTTTTTAAACATTTAGTTAATTTGTTTTTAATTACGGTGTTAATGTAATCTGTAAATATTGCAGCTGCACAGTCAGTACCATAAGAATTTCCTAAATTTGTAACCCCATTAGTCTTTTCTAATGCAATCAAATAAGGATAATTTGTGAATGGACGCTCTCGTTTTGCCAAGTAATATGCAATATTAAACTTTTTCCGTAACGAGTCGGCGTCTTTTACGGCCATTTTACGTAAACCACGCCCGATAGGAGTATTATGAATAACATGGTTAAATAATGAAACTGAACCTAATGTTGTTTGTTGATGAATTCGCGTGGCCTCTTTATGTTGCGCACTACTTAAGTGCGCTGCCAGTGAGTCTTTTTTTTATTGATATTGTTCCTGGTTTGATCCAGGTCATAGAAAACATTTTTGTTTGACTTATCCGTTTTTCAAATTTTTTACATAAACTGCATCTTAATCTTATAACTTCATCTCCATTTAAATCGTATTCTAACTCGCAATTCAAAAGTTTTTCCCATTTTTTAACTGTAGATAATCTGCCTCTGTGGCAGATTATTCTCCTTATTTGCATCCATTTATTGCTATTAATTTAAAGTTAGCAAGTATACTAACAAACTTTAGAGAGTTTTTTTTTAATAACTAGTTTAGAGTCTGTATTGCCTTCCGCAATTCTTCGCAAATTAAACTTATAAAAATATCATTAAATTTGTTCATAATGAATAAGCAAAATCAGAATAAAGCCCTTGAGAATTCGAGTTAAGAAAATTACTTTTCAATCAATTATCTCTTATTTCTTTTTTTAATCAAAATCTTTTATTACTTGATTCGAAAAGGTATTTTTTTACATTTTTACTAATACATTTTTGCTGTTTGATTTTCTAAATATTTTATTTTTCTTTCTTTTACTCTATGCTCAGCATTTAAAAAAATTTATTGTTACAGAAGTCACTGCAGTTTTATACTGTAAAAGAACGCTAAATATTTGCGATTAATATTAATTATCTAAAATTAGATTTTTCCAAAATGATAAAAGAATAGTCGCGAAAAAAAAAAAGGTCGCGAAAAAACAAATTTTAAGAAAAAACTAATCGCGATACGCTTAGTTCGAGCCCTGTATATACATATATAAAATATATGCATGTCTATAATATATACATTTCTATAATTAATTGCTTGATACATATATATACTACAAGATGGCTACACCTATATTACTCTCAGAAACTTGTGTTTTAAATTAAAATTAAGCTTCTTCTTGCATGTTATGTTTTTTATGTGAATATTTTGTTATTTAATAAAAGTATAGTAAAAGGGAAACGGAAATATTAATAACAAGAAAGTCAATTCCAAATAATAATTTTTAAATGATTATTATTGTTTGTTTAATAAAACAATTATTTAAAATAGTATAAATAGCAAATTGAAAATTTGTTATAAATAGTAAGTAATATATAAACAATTATTGAAGGAATGCATTTTTTAGTTTAAATTTGCTGCATTACCATGCTATTGTGAGATTCTAATTAATATTTCCAAGATAATTTGTATTCTGTTATAAATATACTTCATATATGAAATCTACAAGTCTACAAAAAGTTAAATTCTAATTATATACTTAATTATATTATAGTACATATCTAATATTAAAGAAATGAAATGACACTGAGATTTGGTAATGATCTTGATAAAGAACTGCATCAAATGAAAAGCTTTATATACAAATTGACGCAATCGGCTGTATGCGGAAAGTCGAAATTTATAGAATATTAAAAGTTGTTTGATATTAAGCGTTATTGCTTCATTCATAACTTAATTATTGCTTCAATCTCAACAAAAACAGGTAAAATAGTATACTATTTAAAATAGTGAAAAAGTTTATCATATATATATATATATATATATATATATATATATATATATATATATATATATATATATATATATATATATATATATATATATATATATATATATATATATATATATATATATATATATATATATATGTTATATATATATATATATGTTATATATATATATTATATATATATATATATTTATATATATATATATATATATATTTATATATATATATATATATATATATATATATATATATATATATATATATTATTGAATTTTAGATAATTCTTCGAACGAATGCGACTATAGAAATCTCACGTTTATTTGTACATCTAGTTTCAAGCAAAAACATTTATATATTGGACATTTGATTTAACACTAGAAAACACTTGTTTTTTTTATAATTGAAGATCAAGTCATATTGGATTGTAAAAAAAAAATTATTTTTATTGTTTGAAATAATTTATATAAATTGTTTAAAAATAATTTTTTTATCTTTATAGCCATATATTGAAATATATGTTAAATATTTAGGAAAGTCATTGTTTACATTTTAATTTTGGCCTTAGGCAGCTAGCTTAATTATCTTTAAAAATTATAATTAAGTTTTTAAAAATCTATTAAATAATTATATATTATATAAATATTTAATAATAAAAAATGTTCAAGAAGTCAAACAAATGTCCGTGCAACGTTAGTAATAATGCAAAACATTGAACAGTTCGATGAAGAACTATAACGGTTTCTTTAAAGAACCTTATTTTAAGGTTCTTGCGAAGAACGCAAAGGGTTCTTTGAAGAACCTCTACGGGTGCTCCACGAGCGTCAACGCGAAGAACCCTTAAAAGTTCTTTGAAGAACCATTCGGCTTAAGAGTGTAGTCTCTTCGATTATTTAAAGGATGTCTAAAAATCTTTGCTTTTAATCATGACAAAAAGAATAAGTTCAAAAATCCAGGTTAAAAATAAATATAAAAAAGAATTCAAAAGGTTTTTAAGAAAAAAAAATTCAATAAATCGCCAAATATAAACTTTACAAAAGTGTGCAAAGTGTGCAACTATATTCACAGAATTGAAGGCAGCAGATAGGTATCTAATATTTCTTTGCAGATACAAATCAAATCAATGAAAAACCGCCGGATGAAATTTATAACATTAACATTGTATAGATAGCAGTTCACACATTTAAAGGAACGAGTTCAAGTATATACAATATTAGACTATTATCATGCTTCACTGTGACATGCTCAGGTGGGGTAATAAAATAATTTACATAAATATACAAATACGAGCTGACCGGACCCGTAAAAATGCGGGTCTTTGTAAGTCTATTCCACACCGACCTTTTCTATACTTTATATATATATCCTAGCTTTTGGGACCCGTAAAATACGGGTCTTTATCAAACATACCATTTCCATACCTATCTATCCCTCACCGGTAATTTCTATACCATTCCTTAATTACTTCAATATTTTTTAAGAAAAAAGATTTAGTCTATAAAATTGCTTTAAGAGAAAAAACATGCACACCTTTTCCGCATACTCAGAGTTTATAAGAGATTTATAATTTGGTTCGTTTTTATCCTAAACGCATATCATCAATAGCTCAGTGGTTTAGTGCGCTGTCATCAGCGTCGTTTGGGGTCCCCCCTTAGCGCAATAATTTTTGAAATTTTTTAATCTTGCTTACATATTTATAATAAAAAAAAAAATATATAGCAAAAAAGATTTCTAATTGTTAAAATAAAATTTTAAAGTTTTCTCATTTTATAGATATACACAATTGTTCCATATACTGCCTGCAAACTAAACATATGCTAAAGACGTTTACATTTACAGACGTTTGTACGTAACGCTATACAAATGGCAGAACTAAGAAGAATTTAGACCATTAAAATCTATAAAACGAGGCCTTGGCAAAGATATTTTGCGCAGTGACGTCAGTTTGTGGCCAAATAAACTTTTATACGTCATTTTTGCTTTTGCATTTATTTAACCATAGTCACAAGAAATAGATTTCTATTTCTATTTCTTGTGACTATGGTTTTAACTACGGCGCATATGATTGCACAACAAGATAAATAACTCATACAGATATATCATTTCACGGATAAGAGTTTCTATTAATTACAATAGTAATAAATAAATATTTTATAAGAAATAGCCTATTAATTACTATATTTAGTCTTTATTAGAATTTATCTCATAAAAATATATTCTATATGCTTTTAAAAAGAGGAACTTTCCTAAAAAATTTTCACAAAATCTTATTTCTAGTTAGGTTTTTTCAATTTTTTTTTCATAAAACGACATCACAGACCCAAAAATTTTTTGGCTTGAAAGATTTACGAAAAAGCCGCTTCATTTTCAGTAGTCTAAGAAGAAGATGACGCAAATCAGAAATATCAAGAAAGGGGCAATTTTAAAATTGAAGGTTCAAATTTTCCACTTAGATGAGACAATATGTTTCTTTTTTTTAAATCTTTTTAATATTTTTAAATACAATAGCATAAGAACAAAAATTCAAAACAAAATAGCTTGAGCAAAAAAGACTTGTTATTATTATTATTAGAAAAGTTTTCTTATATTACACACGATCCTGTATAAAACGTTATATAAGTGGATTTTTTACATTTGTATATAACATATGTGTTTATATATAAGCACAACTTTATTCCTATGCAATAAAGCTTTGCTTATGTATAGAACCCGCTTGAAAAGAGTTGAGTAATTGTAATTTGTATAAGAGTTTATAAAATGATTTGTTTTTCTTTTGTATGCATAAATTTGATAGATCAGTAGTTTAATGCGCTGTGATTGGCGCCGTTTTGCGAGGGTTCAAATCCGCCCTTTAATACAACTTATTTTCACTTTTTTTAATCTGGCCATATTTATTTACAATAAAAAAATAAATATAGCAAAAGAGGCTTATATATTTTTTTTTTTTTTTGCCTCCACGTCAGCAGTTTCTGGGATGACAGAACTGTCTAATTAAATTTATTCTTTATTAAGTTTCGGACTAGAGTTTTTTTTAAATTAATTATCTGAACACATAAATAACATAAGTATCTCAAACTTGACAAATACGCAACAAATTTCTTCCGGTGTTTTGATGTTATTAGAATTTTAAACTTTTTTAAAAATCCTTTTGTTTGTTATAGTGTATAATTTCATTGCATATGTTATGGATATAATATCTATAAAACTTCAAAAGTGTTTTATTATGCATTTTAAAAAACCACAGCTTATTTGTTCAGAAGCTCTGCGAGCTAACCAATTGCCCACGCTGGTATGTCAACTATTGAAAATTTTAAAACTATATAATAAATGGATCTATGGAACTATATAATGATGGATCAATTAAACTGGATGCTGTATCAGTATATTGTTGCTGGGTTATTGATATTCGTTTTTTATGGATGTTATGAAACATCATATATGTTTTTGATTAAGATGGTTTGAATTGCATACAGTTCATTGGTTAACAAGTGGTGACCAAGAAGCAAATTAACTCGTACATCTAATTGTAAAATAAGTATCTTAACTTAAGTATTTGATTTACGTAATATAGTTTTTATTCAAGGGTCATGTTTATGCATGTATAAAACATTCCTATATTTTAAAAGATAAATTTATAGAATATTAGTAATACAGTAGAACCCCATTAATTTGAGCTCTCAATGAGAACATATTTATTATACGAACGTGACTTAGTGAATGTCCCAATTTAGCAAAGCTCTCAATATGCCAAATTGTCGAGGTTTTGAAACATATCAAATGTTGTTCAATATTTACATTTTATGTACATATATATAAAACTATAGAACTTTATGTAAAATATATTTTAACTCATAGTATATACTATATACAAAAAAAAGCACGAAACTAATGTTTGTTTCAATGACTCAAAGAACTAATTTTCAAACAGCATTGAAACATGTAAACCTATTCTTCCAGTTTCACTACTCTGAGTAGATATTGAAAAAATAAAAATGGTATCACTGCTTCATCAGTCAGTTCATATCTTCTTCTTGCATTTCATCACTAACTACCTTTATCTATCATTACACTTCCCATTATCAAAACATCATCATCAAACCTTAACATATCTTTAAAAGAAAAGTTATTTGAAAAAAGGTCGTCATCGCGCTGAATTGATTGATTGAACATTTTAATGCCGAGATGTATTCATCTATGTTATCTATCTTTTAAATCTTGTTTTGCGGAAGCGGGTTATATACGTGATTTTTATTATTTTTTTCTTAGAATAAATAAGCATTTTATGGCAACAAGTATAGACATTTGTTTTTGTTGATAATAGCATTTATGGTCTGGTTAGTTAAATGAGTTGGGTACTTATACTTTAACTACCCATGACTCCTTAATCCAAACGATTGCAAACAAGAAGTTGTAATTGGGGAAAGAAAGTAGAGTGATATTGATTTAAGATCAATGCTCAATATTTGGATGGGCAATCAAATAACCATTAATCAATGCTACCTTACCACTTATAAAAAAAAACATGCTTTCATATTCTCTGATTCACTGTTTAAATAGTTTTTTCATCCAGCTTTTTATTTGTTTGATTTCCCAACAACAAAAAGAAAATTCTTGCTCACTATATTTCTCATTTTTCAAATGTATGCTTTTTTTTGGAAGTGCTTTGTAAAACAAGTCATACTTAACTGAATTGAATATTTTAAAGGAGTGGTAGTTAGACTATATTGTTGACAAACTGGTTTTTCTCCAAGAAGCAGTCATTTCATTGACCTTCACTTTGACTTTCACCTAAGAAAAAATAGAAAAGCAATTTTAATATCAACAGAAATTTATTTGCAAAACAGCAGTTTTAGGGCTTTTAAAATATGTAAATATCAATTTATGATAAAATACTAGATATTGTTTTAAACAAAACATTGCTTCTTTTTTTAAATTTATCTAACCACGCATCGTATGTTTAAAAGTTGTACCACTCAAGTTCTTTTACAAAATGCAAAGCTTTGACTTTGAAAATGGTTCCAGAAACAGGGATGTTTTGGTGAAAATCAGAATGAGACGTCAGTACCAACCTCAACAAATCAATTAAAAAAAAAAAAGAAAGGAAAATGAACAAAAAAATCTTACCTTAACACAGTCAAGAAATAGTTGCTATGTCAATGTAATATTGCAATAGTTTTACAATATAGTAGCTTAGTTTAGACAAAATAACTGTAACTATAATTTACTAATATAAAACTGAACTTACCATATCACAAACTTCCTTTGTCATTTTAAACATAGCATGCTACTTTTGTACTAAAGTAAAAAATACATTATTTAAATAGTTAACTAGCTCCTATTTAGAATGCAATAAACTACTTTTTAAAACACTTTTTGATTTTTGAAGAACTTCATTCGATTTCTGGTGTCTTTTGATA